GAATTTTTTCACAAATCAAGTGGTGCAACAGTGAAATTAGCTCCCTGGCGAGGTTGTAACCTCCTTTAGTATGAATGCCTTTAAGAACAGACTTGATAAATATTTTAGTGAGAGGCCGTAAAATAGTATACTGGCAAGTAACATTCCCAGCACAAGAACTAATGACAGTCTACCGGTTTTTCCTGTCAAAAACCCCTATAATAATAAAATACCTAAATCAATCCTTTCTCAAATCCATAATGATCAGGCGATCTTATCTGATATTTTTGCAATAAAGGCGGTAATCCGATCCTTGTTCTATCCTAATTTGGAATTTTGTTTCACTGATGATGACTTAATTTCTCTGTGTGTTGAAGAAGAAGAAGACAGAATTAACAAGTTTAGTTCACAAAAGAAAAATTCTGTGAACTTAGTTTTTTAGACCTCTGGTGGAATTCCGGGCTTCTGGAGAACAAATGTGATGTTGAACAATGTTAATGAGCAAGAACCCCAGAAGCAGATGCCATAACTAAGATGTGACTCGATTAAAGAAAAATACACCCATCTATCAACCGATTTACCCAGCTCAGCCTTGACAGTTCTAACAGCAAAGCATGCTGATGATATTACCTCAGTGTGTTTTTCAAACCTGAGCTGATCATCAACAATCAGGCCAAGATATTTGGTCTCCATGCTTCTGCCTATAATAGTATCATCCAGAAAAAAAAACATTACCAAGATTACACTTAAAATTCACGATGGATGTCTTTTGAATATTAAATGAAAGCCGATTGGAGTCACACCACATTTTGATTCTTGCTAAGTCATCGTTCACCATAGCAGTCAGCATGACAGTGTCTTTATGATGCCCAACTATTGTGGTATCATCAGCAAGGGAAGTGCATAGACCACTCTTTACAACTACAGGAAGATCATTAACATACAGTAAAAACAACAATGGCCCCAAAACAGACCCCTGCGAAACGCCGGCGCTAACTCTTAAGCTACCGGAAACGCTGTCCCGAGAGACAACACTCTGACATCTCTGTGGCAAATAAGAACCAAACCACCTCAGGACAACACCCCTAAAACCATAGAGTTCGAGCTTGCGCATCAGTATTTCGTGACTGACGCAGTCAAAAGCCTTGGCCAAGTCAAAAAACACCGCTGCGGCCTTCTCAGCATGATTAAGTCTGAGGTACACCTGCTCCAGGACATTGAAAATGGCATCACTCGTATTTTTCGAAGATTGGAATCCAAACTGATTGCAAGATAATAAATAGCCCATTCTGCTCTAGGAAAACCACCATCCACTTTTGAGCTTTTCAACTATCTTGCTTAGCGTTGGCAGCAATGATATTGGTCGGTAGTTAGAGGGTAACTCTTGCTCTTCTCCCTTGAAAATTGGAATTATCCTGGCTTTTTTTTAAAAAGGTTGGGAAATTACCTGCTTCCACTGAATTATTCATGGCATTTGCCAAAACATTTAGGACAGGGTCCGGAAGGGCAAAAAAGGTTTGAATAGAAATATCCCAACCAGATGAGGTTTTATTTTTGATACTCAATTTTTTTTTTAATTCTTCTGCCGTAACCGGGTTGAAAAAGAAAGAGTTAGGAACCAAAAAACTGCTCAAGGAGGACAATGATAAAGGATCAGGGACTGTTTGTTCAGGGATGTTGCCCCACAGGTGTCTTGCAATATTGCAGTAATATCGAGTTGAAGGTGTTTACGTCAATTTCAGCCGAATCATCCTGCTTGGATTCTCTTCCCCTCAAGTCATTCACTATACTCTAGATCTCCCCCTGACTATTATTTGCAGATGATATTCTACTGTTGTAGTAAGTGGTTTTTGCTAGTTTAATCGTATTTCGGTATATTGATCTATATTTATTAAAATATGTTACAAAAACTTCGTTTGTTACTGCAAATTTCCTGATGGTGTGCAGACATGTCAAGTTATTGGAAGAAATTCTTAAGCCCTCGGTAATCCATGTTTTTTTTTTTTTTTGGGTTTTATATTTACAATGGGAAAAATGTCATTGCAGATATCAACAAGTGTCAGGTGAAATAGGTGCAGAGCATTTTCCCCCAGAACAACGAAACTCACAGAAAACGGATTCATGATCTGATAAGCCTGAATTCTGAACAGAACAATTATGTGGACCATCACAAAAATTAGAACATACATAATCCAAAATTGATGCTGTCCGCTCTGTGACTCTTGTATGACTATCAACATGCAAGGTCAGACCAAACGAGTTAAGCAAGTATTTGAGTGCTTGGACATTTACATTTTCAGAACATTCATAATCCTTATTGAGATCACAGATGCATGCCCTGATGATAACTGAGACAATATAACTTCCAATTTATACAAAAACACTTCACAGTTAGAACTAGGAGATCTGTAAATACAAACATATACATTTAAAATCTTTGAATAAACAAAAGACATTTCAAATAGTTTTTCACAGCACAGACTATCATATTTGCTTAAAGGTATAAAGCCAAAAGATGTGATGCTATCATTCATAAGAATTATTGAGCCGCCGTGAATAAAGTCTTTTCTACTATATTTCAGTAAAGTTCACTCTTTTTGCGGATGATACGACCATCGTGTGGCACGGTTCAGATTTGGAAAAATTTGAACAATGATATCAATCCAGATTTGAGGAGGGTAAAGGCCTTATGCGACTCCAATTTATTATCTTTCGATATTTCGAAAACCAATGTTCTGAACTTAAGATATGAACCAGAGAATGTTCACCTGGATGATAATCCTGTAACTCGATAAAACCACAACAAATTCTTGGGTCCCTCAACTTTGAGGATCACATTTCTAATATTCGTAAAAGGGTTTCTTCGGGATATTATATGCCCTAAGAGTGGGAGCATGGATGTCTCGGTTGCTAGGAATGTATGCTACCATGCAGGCTTTACTCTATGACATGGGTTTTTTCGAGGATATAGAAGATCAGTATGAGCTATAGATGTAGTATCTTTCCTCAAAACTTGGTCTCGATTGTCGGAAAAGCTGGCAAGTTTGACAAACCAAAGGACATTTCTCATCAGCTGCCGGAGACAAGCCCTGAGGATGACACGCATCCGTGTCGAAACGTTGGCATTTGATTAGTACGTGAATATAAGAGTCCAAAAAAGCTGCAATTTTGTTTCTTTGCAAGTGTGTGGCCGTGAACTTGCCCCCCCAAATTCTGACTCTATATAACAAGTTATTTTTCAAGTACAAATAAGTGGATTGTTGCGGAACTTATGGGTGGACCTCTGCGGGACGAGCGCAGCGAGTTCCGCAGCCTTCTAATCACCAATATACTGTTGAATTGTTCAAGTAAGACATTCACCGGAAACATGTAATTTTCAAACTAATGAGAATAACGCACATTTGAGTGAGTCAGTTTAGTATCGTAATTAAACAACATATTGATGAATAGATGACTGCGGAACTCGCTGCGCTCGTCCCGCAGAGGTCCACCCATAAGTTCCGCAACAATTCACTCGTTTGTACTTGAATAACTTGTCACATTATGTTACTAATTTGGTAAATTAACATTACTAATTCCTGTTGAAAGGCAAATTGACAAAAAGTAGATAATCTTACAAATTCTGACTTTATATAATAATTTATTGTTCAAGTAGAGGGTGTTACAAATGGAATGCCCTATATTGGGTTCTATATTCTTGAAGAGCCCAATTTCCTGATTCCTAAAGTATATAGTTTGTCTATATTTGGTTAAGCCGTCTCCAACATTTTTGGTTCTAAAAATTTTAAAAATACTATCAGAGAAACCAAGTACCTCAAATTTTACCTGCAGCTTTCACCTGTATAGGTAGAATGGTTCACAAAATCAGTAGTAGGATACCTAGTATTTCTACAATTTTTGAAACCGAATATATGAGAGACTGTTCAAACACATATAGACAAGCTATATATTTTTGGAATCGGAACATTGTGCTCTTCAAGAACATAGAATGAAATATAGGCCAAAACTAACCCAATCTGGATTACTTTAACTTAAGCTGACCCCCCCCCCCCTTTCAAAAGGTCTCTATCCGCCCCTGGTTTAAATGCCCCTGTTGTCGGAGGGAGTTTCTCAATTTTAGGAGGAATTTTCTTAGATAACCAAACCACACTTTGTTTCGAATATCTGACATGTTATGAACTTCCTTCTTGTAGCCGTAGCAATGTGCAATAAATTTTGTACACTCTGCTATACATTGTTGCATTGAAGTATCTTCACAACCGAAATGTTTAATTTCAAGACCAGATTTTCAGAACTTGTGCAGCTTTATTCACAATTCCAAAAAATTGTGAAGTGCTATCACAGCCAGTGAGACAATGCACTGCTAACAATGAGTTTGCTTGTGTTCCCAGATTATAAACTGTTGCCGCTATATCTGAGAACTTGGCCTTGTCAACAGATTCCATCAACAAGTCTACAAGACAAGCAGAACAAAAACGTCAATGTCATCAGATAGATCATTGACAGACGAATAGCCTGCTGTACAATTATAACGTCTGCTTCTTCATGGTGAATTTCCAAATCCGAGCGAGGAATTACAACGCCAGGAGTTTGTAATTCAGTTGGGATTGTATCAGTACCAGTAATGACCAACTTGTGTGGAAGAAACTCACTATGTTGTAGTAGTTGATTACAAATTATGGTTGTTAGTTGTATTTTATTGTGACTTGGATGAGGTGTGTCTACTCTTAGTTGCATGGAAGTACTGTTAACTCCCCTTTTTGACCCCATTGCACTCTTTGGACTGTACTCGAAGTACCTATCAAATACCATAAATGTGTCCTGTTCTTCAACGTGCTTCATGATCACTGCAATCACATTATCAATATAATTTGTATTGTGTCAACTATATTCCAAGTTGCCCAAAAGTGCCACTTTCGCACCCCTTATATATTCAGTGTATCAAATAGTCTAGAATTAATCCTAAAATTTTAGTTGTATGTACTCTACTTCAAGGTCACATGGCTTGGCGACCCGACTAGTTTTGTTTGAGACAATAAAGCTATATTTTGACTTTGCATTTTTGAAGAAATTCTAACCCCCTAATATGTCAGCTCTTGAATTACCTAGTTGTTAGGAGACAAGATATTTTTTGATATTTTTCTTTTGATGGATGAAATAAAATTTAAAATATGTAAGTAGGTAGCTCATAAATCGAGATAATAGCAACAAAGTTTCAGATAAAACAACACATACCTAAGGCTGTCCTAATGATTTTTTTTATGTGTTACTCAACTCTCCCAATCCCTGTTCTTCCTCAATTACTTTAAGAAAACAAAAGGCCTCATTATTGCCAGCTCCTTTATTATCTAGGACGTCCGGGGTAGCGGATTTGGCAACGCCGCGACGCCGCGTTACCCCTTGGAAGCCCGCCAACCAAAAAGGCACAATTCAGAAATATTTCGGCCAGTCTCTCTACTCTCTCGTGTAGATCTTCAGCTGGCGTATTCTAGCGTGGTGTTATAAAATTTATTGCCGTGACATATCAAGATATCAAATAATGAGAAACTGTGATAAATGAAATATCGCAAAAAATTAAAATTGTTTTAAGAGTGTGTATCATTTACAATAAGTAATTCATTAAATGTAATTAACCTAATGTAATGTGAGCGGTGAGAGTGAATTTTTTCCAGGTCAACGAGGTGATTTTGAGTTGGTTTACACCATGCAATAATGAAAATGAGCCGCTTTGGCGTAATTATGTCTTTTTTTTTTTGGAATAATTCAAATCCACTAAAGTGCTTTAGTGTCATATTATTATTTATTGTTGTAAATACTATAGTTTATAGGGTAGTTTAAATGTCAATGAAAATTACAGTTATTGTATGATGGTAAAATGTAATCAAAAACTTGAATAATTAATGCTACAAGTTTTCACATAGTCCATTTGAACTTTTCTGTAAACATCGTTTTGCTAAGTATAGAACTTTTTCGTAAAGTTTCTCGTTTATAACCAATAATAGAACTTTCTCAGGAAACAAAAATAACCATTCATCTTTCTGACAATACAGAAATAAATTATTCAGGATTTGAACAGAAATGCCAATAAAATAGAGCGGCAACTCGATTTTAAATTTTGCCATTTATCAAGTATTGCATTCACGTAAAAAATGGACCTAGAGATTTTTTCACATTAGGTCCCTAGATTAGGGAAATCATGTTTTCTCAATTCCGTCAGTCAATCGTCTGGCTGTCTATTTGTCGGTCTATCTTTATGTTTGTTGGCGCTCTACCTCAATAGCGGGTCAACGCCTAACCTAGACAACCAACCTAGGACAACGATTTTTGGTATACACATACCGACAACGCTAATAAGGGGTTTCGTTCACAGATATATAGAGGGTGTCTCAAAAACTATGCGTCAATAACAAGACCGGTAAATGATACGAAGTTGATTATATTAGCAAAAAGTTATCGTTCTTGGAGTTTACTACAGATACATTTTTGTATTTCTTTTCAAGATATCAGGCCCTTTGTTTTTAAAAATATTTTGTCGTATATATTATCAAACTTGGTACTCATTTTAGAAGAATAGTGTTCTTTAGGTTCATCTACTCTACAAGATTATACGACCTGAAATTTTCATAGGAAATTATATGGGATGGGTAACGGGTTCTAGAACGTCAAAACTAGTTTTATACGTTGGAATTTTATTTTCATTCATATCTCACTTTTTGTTTGTTCAGTGTCTGATGTGTGGATGTAAATGTCCCAGCTAGTCTAAAAACTTCAATCTTTGTTTGAATGTGTGAAAAAAGTAATAGACCTGATAAAACTAGAAACTGAAGTGGGCGAAAACGATAATATTTCAGGTGCGATGTTAAAATGGTTTTTCCTTTAAATTTACTTGTTTGTTATTTGATATAATCGATGAAAATTCCAAGTAAGGATAATTCTCAAATATAATCACGGACTCTAATAGGATTAATAGGAAAAAACAACCAAGTACCAAAATTATTTTTCTGAAACTGTGGCAAAATTGGTTAGAACGCAATGGGGATCGTTCTCAGAAGAATACCTCACATACATATTTATATTTGAACACTTGTGATACCTACCTATTATGCGCATGACTGGGACCGTTCCTGAACGTTTCTCGGCAAGGTTGGAACAAGCCTGTTATTTTTATACTTAGCATGTTCAGATAAGTTTCATGGGAAAAGGGATCCAGTTTGGCAGTTTGTGTTTTGGAAAAAGAAACTTCCGTCAGAAAACAAAAACCTTTATTAGACGGACAAGTTTTAAGTTACCAAACATTTCTTTGTAAGGGCCTCTATAGAAAAACCTTTACCCAACGGACCCCCTATACAACAGTCCCCAAAACTTTTACCTGGTAATTTACACATTACACAGACAATCAGAACTTGTTGACCCAAGACCTACATTAGTGGTAGTTATTATTTACTTATTATTACCTGCCTAATTAAATCACAGGAACAGGTATATTATTGAATTGACAATCTTGTAGACTACATGGAAAATGATGCCGATCTAGAGACTGAAAATTCTGAAAGAAGTTTAATATGAAGTATTGATTATTAGGTTATCTGTGTTAAGTGATAATTTGTTCATAAATTTAGAAAAAAAAACTGTATATGTATCTAGCTATAGTTTTTTTCGTTGTTTCTCCATAATTCCCTACGACGGACAATTTGTTTTCTCCGTTACTGTCCATTGTGTAGAAGTTTCACTGTATTGCTAATCAGAATTTCCGAAGGGTCGAAGGTAAAAATTTTGGACTTGGACATAAGGGAACATAATCTGAGAAAATGCAATCAGATAGTATTTTATTTGCAAAAATTTAAATTTTTCCAGGATTTATTAATTTTATATGCCTAGAGGATTTATTAAAATAGGTGGATAGTAATTTTGGTCTGATTATTCCTAATCTTTCATCATAAAATTTTTATTTTTATCTCTCTAATTTGACGTTTTATAGTTTTGCCGCACGTGTGTTTACCAAATGTCTGATCTAATAAGTTGAAACATGAATCCAAAATTTGATAGATAAACGTGTAAACCAACTCATTCTCATTTCACTATCTAGGAAAGAAAAACGATATTCCAAACGCGAATCTGAGACTTACACATAGTTGCAAAATCGTCTATACACAGAATTACATTGATGAGTATTTTATTGTGAAATTATAAGACTATTATTGTGTTTGAAATTTTTCAAATAAGACGGCAACACTGGACCGTATGAGTAACGCGATCCCACCGGTACTATAGTCAGCTAAAGTTGTGTTTTGTGTTGTGTTGTGTATTTTGGTTCCGTACAGATTGCCGGGGCCACGTGGACATCGATACAGTCAAGTCAAACAGTAGGTACTAAAGAGTGGGTGTTGTTGCTCTCGTGAATGACTTTTTCCAAGAACTATTAGTGATTTAAGTGAGAATTTTGCCGTCTACTTTCTGAAAAATATATACCTACATGAATTTTTCATTTTTGTTTAGGTAAGTTTTTTTTTGTTTAATAATTTTTGTAAATTTCATGAAAGTGTTTGGATGTGTTTTACATGTAATTTGAAATTATGCATCTTAGGTTTAATGCCTAGAATTATGCCAATCATCATTAGCCTCAATCTGTTTAATTTCTATAAAATATACCAAACTCCACGTTTCGGGTTCAAGATTTTCTACGAGGTGAAACACAAAATATTTGGCATATTATGGGAATCCAATTTTGGTTTCTCATTATCAATGAAAAAAAAATTACCTAATCATCTTCCTAAATCTACTTCTCCCTTAGAATTGAATGGAAACATTATAAATAAAACGAAATTCTAAAATTTTTCATCTCAGAGTCAGAACATCTGTAGGCTCGACCTCAAAAATAAGACACTGGGACTATTTTTTTTAATTTCAGCGTTTGCAACATATTTTTCCAGATGTTCCCCTTTCAGTACAATAATAATTCAAGTATTGGAAGCAAAAAAAAAAAAATCTGAACATAGAGCTTTATGGCATAGGCTAGATTTTTGATTAAAGATTAATGTCAAATTGATGCTAACTCGAGTGCTAACTATAAGTTGAAGAATTGAAAATGATTATATTCAGTCTAGAAAACGTACCTTTTATACTTAAATCTTCGTGACCAGAAAGTGTCGTCTTTGTCAAACAACAAATTTTTTAAGAAAGCTACCCTTAAGGGCGGTTGAACAAGTTAACAATACTACAGAATAAAATTTATTTAAAACGCATCTAAGGGTGCGATTTCGCTCGCAATTTCCCATATTTATTATCGCTTGCTACCTCCAAAATTGGGGTCATCATAACACTTCTAAGTATGTAGTTTTCAAAAATAAACATTTTTCAGTATGAGGTTTTTGCCAGTGCATATTTACGTTTGACATTTCTATGGCTACTGGATATTGATAATTATTCATTACAAACACCAATAAATTAACAAATATTCTCATCTCCCCTATGTTGTTCTAGTACAGTTATAGGCATAAACAGTTAAAAGATAATAAGTACCTCTATATTGTTATGTTTAATAAAAAAAACATATAGATAGAGTGGAGACAAGCAATATTTCTTACTCCTAGAATCATGTTTTCAAGCACAATCATTCATCATTTGCTTCTGAAAGTACGTGTAAACTAAGGTGTAAACCAGGCAGTAGAGATGTTCTTATAGGTACCAGTGATCTGTAAATTGAACCTAGCTGAGTGAACTTTGCAAAGTATGTATTGCGAGAGTTGTGGATATTGCCTTAGTACTAAAGTTAGAATATCAGTATCGGGGACCAACCCATAACTAGTTTTAGTTTTTTTTTGTGCTGAATGCGGTGCATGTGATATGATCCTTAATACATCATCTTCATACTATGATGAAGCTGACTTTATTCTTCCAACTGATTGCGAACCTCTTGTTCTTGATCAGTAAAAATTTAAAAATCTGATCGGAAATAAACTGTTTCATTTAATTTTTTCTTTATCTTTCCTCTTATCATGGACCAATAATTCTTGTTTCTGGTCCGATTTTGTATTAGATTGGATCTGTACCTTTTTACCAAGGGGCAAACCACCTAGGAATTTTTTGCCAAAAATTTGGGGAATTTAGAGGAATTTGTGGGAAATTTAGAGGAATTTGTGGGGAATTTGAAGGAACTCATCCGAATTTATGAGAATTTGGGGAATTTATAGGGAATTTGGAGGAATTTATGGGGAATTTAGGAGAATTTGTGAGGAATTTAGGAGAATTTGTGAGGAATTTAGAGGAAATTGTCAAATTTAAAAAATTCGAAAGAATAATAATGAATACAGTTTTAGTAGGCTGATTTCCAAAACTTTTCATGTTGTTTTCAACTGCAAAAATTTGAAATTTTGGGAAAATGAGCTTCTTACCTTCCTCTTTACATGCAAAAAGTTTCAAAATTTTCCCTTCACTAGTTTTCCTGAGTCCTTATTCTTGAAACAGGGGAGGAGCGTTCCCAGGAGAATGTTTGTTGCCTCTTTCTCAATGATATGCAACTGATAATATAGGTAACAAAGACGAAACACTCGTTCTCCTGGGAACGCTGCTCCCTTGTTTCAAGAATAAGGACCCAGGGAAACTTTGAAATATGTGAGACTGTATTTTCAATTAATTCAGTTATTGTAGGTTGATTTCCGTTGATTTCCAATATTCCTCATGTTGCTGTTTTCCACGGAAAAAAATTTAAATTTTGGGAAAATGAGCTTCTCACCTTTTTCTTTACATACAAAAGGTTTCAAAATTTTCCCTTCACTAGTTTTCCAGGAAAACTTTAAAATGTGTGAGACTGTATTTTCAACTAATTCAGTTTTTGTAGGTTGATTTCCAAGATTTTTCATGTTGCTGTTTTCCACTGGAAAAATTTGAAATTTTGGGAAAATAATGTTCTTACCTTCCTCTTTACATGCAAAATGTTTCAAAATGTTCGCTTCACTAGTTTTCCAGGAAAACTTTGAAATATGTGAGACTGTATTTTCAATTAATTCAGTTATTGTAAGTTGATTTCCAATATTCCTCATGTTGCTGTTTTCCACTGGAAAAATTTTAAATTTTGGGAAAATGAGCTTCTCACCTTTTTCTTTACATGCAAAAAGTTTCAAATTTTTCCCTTCACTAGTTTTCCAGGAAAACTTTGAAATATGTGAGACTGTATTTTCAATTAATTCAGTTATTGTAGGTTGATTTCCAATATTCCTCATGTTGCAGTTTTCCACTGAAAAAATTTTAAATTTTGGGAAAATGAGCTGCTCACCTTTTTCTTTACATGCAAAAAGTTTCAAAATTTTCCCTTCACTAGTTTTCCACGAAAACTTTGGAATGTGTGAGACTGTATTTTCAACTAATTCATTTTTTGTAGGTTAATTCCCAAGATTTGTCATGTTGCTATTTTCCACTGGAAAAATTTGAAGTACTTATGTTCTCACCATCCTATTTACATGCAAAAAGTTTCAAAATTTTCCCTTCTCTAGTTTTCCAGGAAAACTTTGAAATGTGTGGGACTGTATTTTCAACTATTTCAGTTTTTGTAGGTTGAATTCCAAGATTTTTCATGTTGCTGTTTTTCACTGGAAAAATTTGAAATTATGGGAAAATAATTCTCTCACCTTCCTCTTTACATGCAAAAAGTTTCAAAATTTTTCCTTCACTAGTTTTCCAAGAAAACTTTGAATTGTGTGAGACTGTATTTTCAACTAATTCAGTTTGTGTAGGTTGATTTTCAAGATTTTTCATGTTGCTGTTTTCCACTGGAAAAATTTTTTTTTTAGAGAAATTTGTCGGGTATTTGGAGAAGTTCGTGGTAGGGTATTTGGAGGAATTTCTGATGGAGTATCTGGAGGAATTTGGAGGAATTTGCAGGAATTTTGAGGAATTATGCGTAAAAAATTCCCCTTTGAGGAATTGTTTGCACCAATTCTGGGATGGTGGTTTAGGTACCCCTTGCTTTTTACTGAATCAGCACTCGCCTCGTTTTTTACAATGCGTCTTTTTGTAAGAGTCGGAAATAACATGGATCTCACTGTATTTGTATTTACTGAATTTCTTCCTGATTCATTTGCTGAGCTTATACCGAAATCCCAGAGAGTTCACTGGGTTAGGTTATATTTTAGTCGTTTACTACCTGTAGAAATGCTGACTGGGTTACAGAGTTATCAAAGTGTATCCCTCTAGTTATTAGCATACAAATTATTGCAGTAATGCCAAAAGTTATCATTCCAGCTAATTTATATGCGACAAATTTTTCACGTTCGGGGCAACTAAAATTTGAGAGTGGTATTGTTAACTTGTCGAACCTGTCAAAATTCAAACTTGAAACTATATATTAAGCTCATTACCAAATCGTGAAAACATAGTAAAACTTACCAATTTATTAGTGGAAAGTTATGCTGCTCAAGGTTGGTTTATTTTTGTAATTGTGAATTGTGATCCAAACACTTTCATGGAAATTTTCATTTTAATTAAACTATTATTATTTGAAATTAGTTAAAATGGTACTGAATTGTGGTGTCGCTTTTCTTATCGGAAATTCTTATATAATTAAATACAAATAACTAGGTATCTTTTATCATAATACAATATCCTTTAGAGGCTTGCAGCCTAAAATTCAAATATCTAACAACTAACCAAAGAATAAAAATATATATGCAAAATACATAGCTGAGAAAAGACCCAATAAGTGAAACTTAAGCCTCGCCAACTTTCATAAAATAGGTTATGGCCTACAATCCATTTCCGTAAGAAACACAGAAAGTCCACAGGGAATCTTTAAATTGATTTCTGGAGTGTAAATCAATGTGTGACGGCCCCAATAAAGAACTCGTTGGAACTTTATTAGAAAAACTTCAAAAATCACAATTTCGAAGTTTTGATGAGTTCAAGAGTTTATTTATTTTGTACTCGATTTGTATCAAGGAAAATAATTAATTGTTTCAATACTTATGGTAAAGAATTTATCTTTACTAGTATTGTTAGGACCATGACATTATGTTCAGGATCGAGGCAAACAAACGACCAAGGTTTCAGGAATTTAGAAAAATCAAAAATTTGTACTAAATATACATTAATCTTCTCGTACTCATTGGTTCTTTAGAAGTCAAAATACTATTAGTTTTAGAAGAAATACAACTTTTTAAAATTGATTGATGAGAGTTTTGAAAACCAAACAAGCCAGGGAAGACCTGCACAGCCTCCGTTTTTTTAAATTAATTTTGTACCTAAAAACGTTTTAACTTGGGAATTTTTACGTTTTGTTTGACAAGGAAAAACATTCTCATACAAAAATATGCATTTCAAAAGGTAAAAAATAATTTGTATGCAAACATCAGTCATATTTTGCTCGGAATATTATGCCAAGGCAGCAGGTGAAATAGAAATTAAAACAAAACCTGCGGTTTTAGAATTCAGGAACATTAATGAATACATATTTATGTTTTTGCTTTTGGTAGTTATTTCAAAATATATTTCTCTGGATATTTTAA